TGGGACTTCTGGGTCCTGCTTCTGAAACCGTGTCTTTGGCAATAACGATTTGCTTTCCGCGTCTGAGGGGCCACGAGGAGCAATAGCAATGACCTGTAATATTTGGGGAGTCTCTTGGACAACCCTAACCAACAACTGGAAAGAGGGCTTTCTCATCCCTGGTGATGGAATCTTTGCTAGTTGGTCTTTGGTTCTTGGAGGGAGCAACAGTCCAGATCAGAAAATTTCATTTAAACTATAAATGTACATTTCTACATACACATGTGTATGCTATAGTGTGTTTTAGGTAATTAAATGAATCCTTGTGACATTCCATTTTTAGACATCCTTACTTTTACTTTACTCTCCTTCTTCCTCTTTCTATATTTACCCCACCACCACCAATTAAAGCCTACCCATTTCTTCCATTTCCCACTGAGATCAAGTGTACCTTGTTATCCTGCTCTCCATTGCACAACCCACCCTGCAAACAATGCTCTGTTTTACTTTCCTGGTTTCTGTAGTTGATCCAGGAAATATACTCATATATGTGAATTTGGAGCTAGGAGTCTCAGATAAAAGAAAGCATCCAAGTCCTCTAGGGTCTGGGTTAATCACTCAATATAATATTACCTTGTTTCATCCATTTACTTTCAAAGTTCATAATTTTCTTTCCTTTTTTACAAATGAAAAAGTATTCCATATTACATATGTGCCACATTTTTCAAAGGCTTTTTCTGCATTTATTGATTTTTTTAACTTTACGTCAAATTATGTGTTTTATTACATTGATTGATTTGCATATATTTAACCATCCCAGCATTTCAGGGATAAAGTCAACTTGGCCAAAATAGTGGATAACTTTTTGATGTACAGTTGACTATGTTTTATTAGGAAGTGTTTTATTGAGCATTTTTGGATCGGTGTTCATCAGGGCTATTGGCCTGTAGTTTTCTTGTTGTGATTTTACCTGGCTTTGGTATTGCAGTGACAGAGGCTTTTGGGAAAAGGAAATTATGAGGGCTTTTTGTCTATTCTTGCTTTTGAATAGTTTATTGAAAATCTAGTAGACTTCTACTATAAATCCATCTGACCCTGAATATTTTTTAGCTGGAAGGATTTTTATTACCATTTCAATTCCTCACTTATTATGTGTCTGTTTAGATATTTTTAAATTTCTTCTTGGTCTAATTATGGTGATTTGGCTGGAAATCATTCATTTCTTTCAGGCTTTCCAACTTAATGAAGTACAAATTTTTGAGATATTCCTTTAGAATATTTGAAGTTTCTTTGGTGTCTATTATAAGGTTTCATAGTTTATTTGGGTTTTCTCTTTATTTCTTCTGGTTAGTTGGTCCAAATCTTTTGTATTTTCTCAAATAACCAGATCTTTTATTGTTTGTATTGTTTTCTTAGCATCTATTTCATTAATTTCTATTAAGATGTGATTATTTTTTGCTGTCAACTGGGTATGAAATTGTAATTGGTTTGTCTTTGTTTTTTCAATTTGTTTTTTGAGTTTTAATATTGTCTTAGTCAGTGTTCAATTGCTGTGAAAAGACACCACGATCATGACAACTCTTGGAAAATCTTTATTTGGGGATGCCTTACAATTCATAGGTTTAGCCCATTATCATCATGGCAGAAAGCATGTAGGTTCTCAGGCAGACATGGCTGAGAGTGCTACGCCTGGATAGGCAAACAGCAGGAAGACACAGAGAAACCTCAAAGCCCACCCCAGTGATGCATTTCCTCCAACAAGGTCATACATTTACCCCAACAATGCAATGATTCCTATAGTGTCATTCTCTGGTGGCTAAGCATTCAAATCTGTGAGCCTAGGCAGGTCATTCCTACTCAAAGCACCACAATCATTAAGTCATTTGTGTGTTCTCATTCTTATTTTTAAAAAAATCACATTTTTATTATTCAAAATAATCCTTTAATTCAAATATATTTTGATCATATTCTTCCCCTTACCCAAGTCCTCTACCCCTCCCTACCCACACAATAAAGTAAGGTTTATATGAACTCACAGAGACTAACACAGCAAGCACAGGGCTTAGACCTCTCTGCACCAGGTCCTCTGTATATATATTATGACTTTCAGTTTACTAATTTTTATGGAACTCATGAGTGTGTGAAGCAGTGGGTCTCTGACTGTTGTGTTTCCTCTTGGGACTCTTTTCTTTTTGTTAGGTTGCCCTGTTCAACTACAAATGGTAAGTTTTTGTTTAATCTGACTATATTTTGTCGTATTTGGTTTTTGACTCTTAGAAACCTGTTCTTTTCTAATGAAAGACAGAGAAGGAGTGGATCTAGAGGGGAGGGGAGGGGAAAAAGAACCAGGAGGAGAGGATGAAATAGAAACTATAGTGGGATACATTGTATGAGAAAAGAATATATTTTCAATAAAAGGAACAATGAAAACAATGCTACTATGTTTTTATTACTTAAAACAATTTTAGAATTTAAATATATTTTTATTATATTTGTCCTCTCAGCCAAGTCCTTCCAGATCACCTACCCCTTCCTATCTACCAAAGTTATTTCTCAACAAGCAAAACCCAGTACAAAAACAACCCCCCCCAAAACCAAGAAAACAAAATAAAACCACACCCAAAAAGAAAAGAAAAACAAAACAAACAAATTCCACCAAACAAACCCCACCAAACTTTAACCAAATAAATTAATAGATTAAAAAAACAACTGTGGAGTCCATTATATGTTGGTCAACTATGCCTGACCATGAGGCCTACCTTGGGTGGTTGTCACTCTATTGGAGAAAATTGATTTTTCCCTCTCCCATAAGGTATAAGTGACAGATAAGTTGTTAACTTTACAATAGTAGCTAGGGTTTCATTCATTAATTAAAAAATAAAATATAAGATAAAACAAAAAGCTATCACTTCAAAGTTGAACAAGACACACGAACAGAAACAAAAAGAACCTAAGAGAAGAACAAGAATCAGAGACGCACTCATTCGCATAAATCAGCAATCCCATAAAAACACTAAGCTGGAAGCCATATATGCAAAGAAGCTGGAGCAGACCCATGCAGACTTTTGCATGCTGCTTCAGTCTCTGAAGCTCATATGAGCTTTGCTCATGCTGTTCTGAGGTCCTTACTTTCTTCCATCTCTCTGGCTCTTATACTTTTCCTGTCTCCTTTTCTTTAGAGTCCTCTGAGGAGAGGGATTTGAAGACATCCCATGTAGGGCTGTTTTCTTTCTTTCTTTTTTTTTTTTTTCTTTTTGGTTTTTACGAGACAGAGTTTCTCTGTATTGTTTTGGAGGCTGTCAGTCCAGCCTGGCCTCGAACTCACAGAGATCTGCCTGCCTCTGCCTCCCGAGTGCTGGGATTAAAGGCGTGCGCCACCACCGCCCAGTTTAGGGCTGTTTTCTAAGATTTCCCACTCTCTCTATAATGTCTTACTGTGGGTCTCTGCATTTATTCACATACTCTGCAGGAGGAAGTTTCTCTGCTGATAGCTGAGCAAGATACTAATCTATGAGTATAATAAAATATCATTAGGTGTCATTTTATCACTACTTTCTCCCTATTGTTTAAACTAGTATTATTTGGTTATGCCCTGGGTCCCTAGGCCATCTAGTCTCAGGTTCTTGGTTACCCAAGCAGTGATGGGTATGAGTTCCCTATCATAGAGTGGACCTTAAATCCTATCAGTTGTTGATTGGTTACTTCCACAAGCTTTGTTCCATCATTGCCCTGGCATATCTTGCAGTCAGTACACCATTGTAGATAGAAGGTTTGTGGCTAACTTTATGTTTCTGTTTCTCTTTTGAGAGCATGAGAGTATATTCTCGTTTAAAGATACTGGAACACAGGAATGAAAACTCCATGTAGCCACTGACTCAACAACTCCATCTTCAATGAGTTGTGTAGGTAGTATCTTCAGTAATGGGACCTTGCTGTCAGTTTGCAGAAAGAAACCTATAGTCTTGGCAACAAACTGGGTTACTTGGGGATTCCCATAGAGCCTCTTTGGCCAAAAAACTCAATTAGATGTTATCTAGTCCCAGTACTGGAAGCTTCTTTTGGTGACAAGAAATATCCAGTTGGAACTCTTTCCATTATTTGGTTATTTCATTTAGATTGTCTGTCTTCGTGTGTGTGTGTGTGTGTGTGTGTGTGTGTGTGTGTGTGTGTGTGTGTGTGTGTGTGTATGCTAACAACAATGTTAAGGGTTAAGGATGAGACAGAGACATCTGGTCATCTCAGGATGGTCCCCAGGGTTTATTCCAGCATCATCTTAACTTTCCAAAAGTGGGGGTACTGGCATAAGACATCTATTATCATGTGTAGAGCTGATATCAAATATATCCTTTTATCCTATAGACACTCCTAAGTCTCTGGTACTCCCTAGCATTCAGGATGTGTATAGGCTTGCTCAGGCCTAGGTCTATTGTTATACAAACTAGGAGCCATTCCCCACTGAGACCAGGCCATCGGGAGGTAACCAGCTGACATCTAAAAGACAATAAGTTCTGAGCTCCTAGAATTCTTGGCTGGGACGAGCATATTTCTGAGATATTACATTTTGGAACCCAAAAAACCATGTTCTCTTTGTGTCCTACATGCCCTATCTGACTCTTACAATCTTTTTTGCCTAATTTCTGCATGATTTTCTGAGCTCTGAGGGAAGGGAATTGATGGAAACATCTAATTTAGACTCTCTGGCTCTTCAAGTTATCTTAGGCAGGTTATAGCGAATCCTTGTGTTTCTTGTGATTCTCAACTAAGAACTGGATAACCATTCTCCCTAACTTCTCACCAAGTGATTTCCTTTTAAATAATTTTCCTTTCTTCTAAATGGGTTCTCATCACACTGGTCCACGAGCTGGTATTCTTACATTTCTATTTTGGATCTCTCCATTATTTTGACATTGTTACTACATTACGTTATCACCACGCGTTCCTTGTATTTGACTGTCAAATATTTTACTGAAATGAATTTAAATCATAATAATGAGCAGACTTACATTTTTTTTGTATTCCAGATTTCTAATTAAATGGGATTTCTGAGGCTAATTCTCAAGTGTTCTGAGAATTACATCAGAAAGACAAGGCTCCGAGGACTGTTGTACCTGCACTGACAACTCGTTCAGGCCAGGGCCATCCTGATGTGACATGACAGTGAGGAAGAGGCACTGTTGCTATCTCTTAGCTGTGTGTGTTTACTACTGCTAATCCCTAAGGATGGAAAGTGAAACTCAGACTGGTCAGTATGAGAGAAATCAGACATAGCAGTTATTTTGTGCCAACCATATTAAGAATTTCCACGGCATGAATAACCATCTGAATGATGCGTGCAAGTAGTGTGTTCTGAGAATTCCCTAAAGTGAGCAATATGTTAATAGAGACTTTAGTTCTCAAATATCTATTTTAAGGTAACTGCTAAACAGAGCTGTTAAATAGGATTAAACTCCTTGTCTGTTTATCAAATACTTTCATGCTTGAGACTTTGAAAACACATGGTCTTATTGGTATCTGCACAGAAATACTTGGATGTCTTGATTTCTGTCTGAATTAGAAAGAACCAGCTGCAATATCCAGTAGTTGCATGTGAGCACTCCAACCCCCCTCCACATGAAGATCAACAAAAGTGCCTAATGGGGGAATATGTTAATACACTTCATAAAAGGAAGGTGAGAGCCATAACTTTTTGTGTTTAGTTTTTAATCAGCCAGAACACAAGCATAACCTAAAGCATTTTGAAGCTACAAAGTATTTTTTCATTTGCATTTCTTTTTGGTAAAAGTAAAGTTTTTGTTTGCATGTCCATCTATAAATTCCAGAGATAGGCAAATGAGTACTGTGAGATCAATGCACTGATTGTGGTTATTTCTGTTAAGCTGATTAGGTGAGAAGAATCTGGGATTCATAGTAGAAACCCTTCCACATGGTTTGGTTCGTGACACCTCTGTCAGCTGTCCCCTACACCATGGACACTGATGGTTGGGTCCTTGACAACTACCATCAGCTGTCCGCTACGCCATGGACATTGTCCATATGCACTTTGAGGTAGTCATTCCTTGTAAACTTCTTATGACAAAAATGGCATTCTGCCATCGGGCGGTTGGGATTGTGAGTCATCTTGTGTCGGATGAGCATTTTCTTCAGGCTAAAAGCCAAGTCACAAACCTAGAAAAGAACCAGACACTGCATATTTATGATGACAAACCAGTCTGTCATATACACAACGTACATTATGAAAATTCCTCCTAACAAGTATGTGCTAGTGGGCTTAAGGACAAGCTCAGCTCTCAGAATTGATGGAATTTCATACCCAGACAAAGAGATTAATTGCAGTTCTCAAGAATCACTTGCATTTAGTTGCATGGCTTGCACCACTCCCGTGCATCCTCTCCTCTCTCAGCTCTGGACCATGTCAGAGAAACAGCTTCCTAGGGAACATACCTTCCTTAGCATAACAGAGTGCATTTACAATTCATAACAACTCCTTATGTGTTGCCGTGATTTACAGCCCGGATGACATCTCTCCACAGGGCACAAATACACAAGACATTTTTTACTGTGATGTTTTCAATTTAGTCCCACTTGAGATGTGACTGGCTACCAAGGCTTTAAGAGTTATAGCCACTTACGGTGTGACTAGTTAACAATGCTTTAAGCACTATAAGCACTTGTGGTGTGACTGGTTAACAATGGTGTAAGAATTACAACTCAAATTTATTACCCAGTATTCGGTCTCTTGCTTTCTTTAACTAAGTGTTCTTTAACTAAGGCATATAAGCAGTTTATTTCATATAAACTCCACTACATGGCAGCCTTGCTTAACATCCCTATCAAAGAACCTGGTAATAGAAAGTACCACAGTAGTAACATGTAAGCAAGGCACAATAACTTTAGTCACAGATGGAAGTCAAGTGAAATTCCAAGTTTGAAGCTACTCACGATTTTTATATATATATATTCTTTGTATACATATTCTTTATGTATGTACACACACACACACATATATATATATATATTCTTTAAAAGTGCATTTGTTTGAAAATAATGTCTGCTTCAAGAATGTAGAAACAAAAAGGCACAGTAAATACTGATCAAGGAAACACTAAAGAAAACTGGTATTCTAAATGAGGCTTGTGAAGGGACTAAGGCAAATGAGAACTGTGTTCTCCCTTCTCTGTGGAGAAAGGAGGATTTACTGTCACAGTAACAAGAGAGTCTGAAAGGTGTCAGACTTGAATGTGGCTGGGAGCAGAAGCCACTGTTGGTGATGCATTCTGATTTATGCGGAGTTCCAGGCTGTACTTGGAAACAAGAGCGCTCCAGAGACACACTTTCTTTCAAGGAAGCCTGTCCTCGTCTAAACTCTGCCATCTTCTTCTCTTTAGCCTTTTTCTTGTGCACTTGGCACCCTCTGTCCCGTTTCAGGTGAGTTACTCACTAGGGCCATTAGGCCTCCAGCTGACAGGATGAGGGGCAAGGAGTTTGTGAACTGTGAACTGTGTCCATACATGCCATGGTGAGGAGCCAGCATGGAATTTCACATGGAAAGTACCCCTTTCACTGCAGGTCCCTTGTCCAGGAAAAGAGCAATAATGGTATGTTCCTGACATGGTTGAGGATTAAATGTATTCTAAAGTTTATGCAAGTAGGAGTTACTGTAGACACTCATTAAATGCTAGGCTAAGTTTTTCTTTCATCTTCCCTAGTAAGCAGGATCATCATCATATCAGAAAGAAGAGACTCAGGGGGATCTACCACAAGGGGGGACTTGAAAAAGGACACATCTATTCAAGAGTGGTGGTGGGACTTGCCTGCTGGGTGGGATTCTCTGCTAAATATTCTCAAAGCAGCCATTACTTTTCCTTCACCTAAGCTTAATGACTGATTTCTGTAATTTTTCTGAATATATCTCCTTACTATCACAGGGAACTTAAAGGTACAGATCATTAATCCATCAATTGTAGTTGAACTTACAAAAAGTGAAGGTTAGCCAGATTTCCCAGCAACAGAAAGTGATTTTTAGAATGGAAGCCAGGCAGTCTGCACTTAATACCTCTTTCCTAGGGCAAATCCCAGTATCGTCTGGAGATTCTCACTTTAAAGTGAGATATATGAACTAACTGTTGTTTCTCCCACTTGTCTGGCTCACACCACTTTATGGAACAAAAGTAACTTAGAAAATATAAATAAGGGCTCCAGATACTTGGGCTCATTCTTGTAAAGGAAGGATACTAACTACATGTCCATTTCCTCGGTCTCCCTGGGAAAATTAGAGCAATGGCAATTGGAGAGAATATAAAGGAAGCTGAGCAAGATGCTGAAGTTATCAGTAATGGCTGAGAGCTAAGGGAGTCCAGACAATCCATTCACACGGGAGAGGAACTGGACAAGCTAAGAGAGACTATTCACTGAGAGCCTGAGCAGACCTCAAGAAGGCAGTGGAGAGCACCTGCTGTCACACTTGTGGAAAGGGTTACCTAGCTGTGAAAAGATTTGCCATCATCAGCTTAAGTCTAGCCATTAAAGGACTCCGGATGATGCCCAGAATAAACCAGCCCAATGCCAGGTCATTTGATAGTCACACTGGAAACAAGGGAGGCCAGGGAGGGGAAGCTAAAACTGCACAGCTTGGGTACTTCCTTTTCTTCCCTTTCCACCAGGGCTTCCCAAACCTGTCCTGACTTAGTACCAATTCAAATACACAAAATGGGAAAGCTTTTATTTTTCACCATTACTCTGAGAGAGAGTCATCTGAACTGCTTTTGTTTTAGAATATAGTAAAACAATGAATGCATGTACCACTTGCTGTAGTAATAAAACGGCAAAGGATACACTATCTTTCTCTGGTAGTCACTAATCTAGAATAAATATTTGTAGGGCATTAGCTCTTTGACAAGAGAGACACATAAGTGAGCACAGTCAATGTATGGAAGAGACTGGGGCAAGCTTTAAGAAGCGGGTCACGTGACCTGGATGTGGATGGAAGCACATGGTAGGGATGGAGAAGGATCTTCTAGGACAGGACAGGCACAGGTGCAGACCCTGGGGAGAGGGCACAGGTGCAGACCCCGAGGAGAGGACACAGGTGCAGACCCCGGGGAGAGGACACAGGTGCAGACCCCGGGGAGAGGACACAGGTGCAGACCCTGGGGAGAGGACACAGGTGCAGACCCTGGGGAGAGGACACAGGTGCAGACCCTGGGGAGAGGACACAGGTGCAGACCCTGGAGAACAGGGCACAGGTGCAGACCCTGGAGAACAGGGCACAGGTGCAGACCCTGGGGAGAGGGCACAGGTGCAGACCCTGGGAAGAGGACACAGGTGCAGACCCTGGGGAGAGGGCACAGGTGCAGACCCTGGGGAGAGGGCACAGGTGCAGACCCTGGGGAGACAGTCAGAGGTTTGAAACACATACAGAAGAGTGTTGACAGGAAGGGGTTATTTATAGATTAAACGAGAAGACAAAGGCCTGTCAGTCAAGTAGGTAAGTGGATTTATTTTACTGTTGTCAGATTACCAAACTCATTTAAGAAAAAAATGAACACAACAACTCAAGATACCCAATCAAATAAAAATAATATTAATAAAGTCTAGGACTAATGGACCCCACAGATGAATTTTTATCAAATATTCAGGGTTATAGCAATATATCTTTCATACAGTGAAAGCTGTGCTTTTAAAACTTATTATCTATAGTTAGCATAGCCTTGTCACTAAACCCAAATGAAGATAATAGAAAGAAAAGTAGAGATCAACATAAATGGTTCTAAAAGAAAAAGTTCGCACCCCCCACATTTAATGTAATTCTCTGTTAAATAGGTTCTAAAATGCGGCTATGTAGGGTTTATTTCAAGATTGTAATGGTGATTCAAATGAGAAAACAAACGGGAACATGTCACATTAGTAGAAAAATAACAACAAAAGACAAACATAGTCATATGGAAGGACATTTGATAAAATTCAGGATTGTTTGATGGTTTGAAAACAAACACCTGCTTTAAAAACTTTGTCAGTATAACCAAGGGTGAGTGTTAAAAACTCACATTTAAGGCCATCGGGACACCTGCCACTTGGTGTGGGGCAGAAGATACCCCAGAGAACCTTGCCCACCACCAGGAGAGTGAGACAGCCCCAAGGGAATGAGCATGGAACAGCTGATGCTGCCCCTTGCCTGGGCACTGTGGGAAAGCTTGCCCCAAAGGCATGAGAGCTGGCGATCTGGACTCACACACTGCTGGCTACGGCACTCCAGAGAGGGCCTCATGCCTTGCCTGGGCAGCATAGTAGAGATAGCCCTGGTAGTTTGGGTGCTGGAGAGCAGGCCCAGAGGGCATGAGAGCGAGTGGTCTGGCCCTGTCCCTCAATGGAGCAGTGCTGGAGACTGCCCTGGTGATGGGGGTGGGAGGGCTGGGGGGGAGGCGGGAGTGACGGGGGGGGGGGGAAGGTTGGGGGTGGGATGTGTGTGTGTGTGTGTGAGAGAGAGAGAGAGAGAGAGAGAGAGAGAGAGAGAGAGAGAGAGAGAGAGAGAGAGAGAGAGAGAGAGCTTGCCTCAAAGGTGAAAGCACCGGCACAGGCAGGAGAGCTGGTCTGCCCCTCACCTGGGTTAAGCAGGGGAGAGCTGCCTCTGGTGGTAGGGAAGCAGGAGAATGGGCGGGCGGACCAACTCATCAGCTACCACCAAGGCCCAGATCCAGAAATTTGAGTTAGCCCACTCCAACATCTGCCCCATCCACAAATTGCTGGAGTGTCTGAAGGGGCTATTCCAGCAGAACCAAAGTTGGAGTACCTCCATGATACAGGGCAACAACGGAATATTCCACAGGAGTCCCAGTGAGAACACAGTATTGAAAGTGTAGGAGAAGCCAAAGGCCTTGAACCAGACTAATGACTCATTACAATGATCATTTGCAGGTAAAACTATTTGAGCAACTTGGAAGACTGTGTGACACAGTGCAGATGGTTTTCTGTTGTTGTTGCTGTTGTTTTGTGTTCTTTGGGAGGGTGATTTTAAGGGCATAGGGTAGATATGGTGGGATGGAGAGATGATTGGGATTGGGTTCATGATATAAACTTCACAAAAAATCATTAAAAAACAAAAAAAAAAAAACCCAAACCTCACATTTAACACTGAGTATGAAGGTGAAAGACTGAGAAAGAATCAATCCCTAATAGACTCCATATAAAAAATTCAAAATAGATCATAAGAGCTGAAATGATACAATGTTTTGGTTTCAAATTTTGTGGAATTTTTTTGTGTATATGGTTTATAGTTTTGTTTTTTATTGGCTTATTTGTTTGAGAGGGAGGGAGGAAAGGGCAGAAAGGAGGGGGAGGGGGGAAAGAGAGTGAGAGAGAGAGAGAAAGAGAGAGAGAGAGAGATGGAGGGAGGGAGGGAGGGAGGGAGGGAGGGAGGGAGGGAGCGAGCGAGAGGAGGATAGGTAGGAGGAGAACCTTGATCAGAGTATGCTGTAGGAAGAAGCATTTCAGTAAAAAGAATAAATACTGAATTATTACATAACCCAGAAATTTCACCCTCAAAGAAATGAAAACAGGTACTCAAACAAATTCATGTACACTCATGCCTGCCACAGCCCATAAGTAATAACAGCAAAAGCAGAAACACCAAGTGGCTGGCAGTGGACAGATGGCTAAGCACATTTGATAGATGAACACAACAGGCTATTGTCAGTCAGAAAGGAACGGCCTGCAGGTGCATCCACCCCAAACACAAAAGTCAGTGCCAAATGCCAGTTATCATATAAATTCATTTACATTAAATATCCAGGAACGGGGAAATCTAAAAAACAAAGCAGATTAGTGATTGATGGGGGGTACGGGAGGTGGGGAAACAGTTTAATGGTGCTGGCTTCTTATTTTGGTGCAAAGAAAAATGCTTTGATGCTGGATAAATAAGATTACACAACAAGGATAATGGACTAAATGGCACCAAACTTTGAAATGGCTAATTTATGTTAAGCAAACATGTCACAGCCAGGAAGATGGTTCAGCAGCACTTGCAGCAAGGTTTTACAATCTGAATTTCACCCCCAGGACTGTATTAGTAAGGATTCTCTAAAGAAACAAAACTGACAGAATGAACAAATGTATAGCATGTGTGTGTGTGTGTGTGTGTGTGTGTGTGTGTGTGTGTGTGTGTGTGTGTGTGTGTGTGTGTGTGCTTTGTTTGTCTCCTATAAAAGGCCAAACCTTAGCAGTCCCAATTTGGCAATTTGGTGCTAGAGTCCCAAGGAAGGCCTAGAAAGTTGCTAGTTTTCAGGGTACATTGAAATCTGAACGAAGTAGGTTCTAGTACAATAAAGAAATGCCTCAGTAGGAGGACAGATGAACTTTCCAACAAGAGTGAGGTCCTTTAATGTGCATTGTCACCTGAAGAGGTGGCCTTGATTTAGGGTGAGTCTTTTCACCTCAAAAGATCTAAGGAAGAAAAATCCCTCACAGGGTCCTTAGGTGCCTTGATTTCAGTTAATTCCAGATGGAATCAAGATGACAACCGAGGTTAGTCATCACAGGACCACATGGTAGAAGGAGAGAACAGAGTCCCACAGGTTGCCCTCTGACTTCTACACCCACACAGTGGTACTCAGGTGCCAACACACACCTATAGACACACAAAGTAAGTAAATACATCATAACTTTTTAAAAATATCATGTCAAAGGTAACCAAGGGAACCCACTGGACATCTTAAGTGATGAGAAAGGATAAGGGCTCCAGTTGCTATTAGGAATTGAAATTTTGAGGAAGTAATGGATCTGGGAATTGTCTAGCTCAGGAGAGAGGAGGAGACAGAGGAGCAGTTAAGGCTAAAGTCAGGAAGACATGATTTAGGAGCAGTGACAATCTCTGTTCCACTGAGCAGCCAGCACATCTGGGAAGTTTTCGGGAGCACTTAAAAAGGTGGATGCTAATTGGATAGTTTTGACCCTTAGGAGTGAATGAGAGAGATGTAGACAGAAAAAAAAAAAAACAAGATTGTAGATTACAGCTAAACATGTCACACCATAGATCAATTTACCCAGAGATATGTTCAACAAAATTATTCAGCACCTGTCAGAGGTGGGGTGAGTATAAGACAGCACAGTACCATATGGCAGTGAGATCATTGCAGGCCTACAACAGTTACTTGTGTAGCTGTACAATCAAGGCACTTAAATAGGTTCCGTCTCTATAAAAGAATAAACTAACTGAGATGATTGAGCTAGCTCCAGCTCAGGACCATGTTCTATTTGCATTTTTCTTGCTACAGGTGGATTTTCCAAAAGTATGCTGGAAATGAAGGTATTGCTGCTTGAGCCTCACAGGACTTGGAAAAGGTCTTGCGTCTGTGAGTTTCCTTCACAGGCACCGCTTGCATCTTATGTCCCCTGCAGCAACATGCCTGTGGCATGGTGCTCTTCAGAAAGCTCAGCATCTACAGTGAATTCGTACTGAGCTACTTCACGCATTACAATTTCAGTGTTTCTTCTTATACAAAATTCCACTGATGCTCTTTTGTTTATATTTATATGTCAAGAACAAGCACCCTGGTACCTTCCCTAATTCTTGGGTTGATCAGCTGACATAATCGTTGGTGGAAAACATCATTTCCCCCATCAATGTTCTTATTAAATTTACTAAGAACAGTAGTACTTTTCTCTTTCAAACATAATAAAAACAGCTATGTCAAATTATTTCAGTTCAATTCAAATATACTAAATAGAAAAATATACGAAGTAACATTTTTTAACCTAAAGTAAGTATTTAAAAAAATTCAGTTTGTATTTAACATCTATGAGTAGCTAAATATACATTCTGATTTTGTGCATTTTTACATTCTTACTTTTTTACATTATGATTTTTAAAAAAGAATTACAGGCACACATACAATATATTTTAATTATATTCACTCTGTTGGTTCAATTGTCACTAACTTGTCAGGGTGGGCAGACACCCACATCGCCTTGAACTATCCCAGATTTACACCCTGAAAGAACAACAGTCCCATGGAATCAAACACTGGAAGACTTCCTGAAGAAAATCACAGTTTCTTTGCTGCTAGCAAACCACAATGAATAAAATATGATGGCACTGAATATGCAACCCGGAGTTACAAGCAGCACAAGGCGCTGACAAACTCACAAAGCAAACACAGGCACAGGCACAGGCATCCCTCCTGTGGCTGCAGAATACCAGGGGAGAAATAGAGACCCCCGACTCACATCACACTGAAAAGGCTTTTCTCCTGTGTGTGTCCTCTTGTGCTCATCTAGGCCCCGCTTCTGGCTGAAGGCCTTGCTGCACTCTGAGCACTGGTATGGCTTCTCCTGCAGGCAAAGAAGAGAGAGCACCAAGGATGTCAGTGAATGAGTGAGTGGCTGCTGACCCTCCGCGGAAAGGCGAGAGTTGGAAGATGCCGTCCTCACCGCGTGCAGGTGCTGCAGCAAATACACAGGAGCTGAGCTGTTTCAAAGCCCACAAGAAACACCACACATCTCTGGACATCGAACCTCCTAGTTGGAAGCGAGTGACAAACACAGGACAGTGCCTGGTCTCCACTCGTACCTTGGGTGCTGTGATCCAATTTTCAATTACTTCTTTTAGCTTAGAGACACCACAAAATTTTACTATGGCATGTTGGGTATTGTCACTTAAGAAAGCTGAAGACCCCCTGATAACGATGTAATTACTATAATCTCTGCATTGAATATTTCAGAAACAAAATTTCTATGTAAGTGTGAAGATAAACTTAAAAAGCTAGAATTCACCTTTGATGGATGTATTTTTAATCTTGATTACCAAACACTTTCCCAAGGTCTAGAGTTCTTTTTATTGAATCTAAGTGAGTATTTCTAAGTGAGACTTTTTCTTGTTTTTCTATTGTAGCCTCTTAAATATGCATTTTAAAACAGAGAAAGTGCCCCCATTTCTCAGTCACCTAATGGTCCCCTTTAAGGATTCCAATCTATAGAAGAGCAGGAGCAGCAGGAGAGAGCATAATGGAGCATTCCTGATCCAGCAAGTCTCTTAAGTGGCAGGCAGAAACAAGTCCTTAAAGGCAACCAGACAAATCAGGACACTGAGACACATTCATTTCCCCTCTGAAAAAAACCCCAGATCCACTTCCTACTAACGCCTCATTATTCCTAACCTGCTTCACTGCAAAAACGTCAACCATCACTGGTCAAGCACAGGGAGAAAAGAGCCCAGGCTGTGTGCTATGGGAACAATGTTTAATGCTAGGAGATATGTGTTGCTTTCCTCCCCCTTTCTCTGAGAACTGTGAAGTCTTCACTGTCCCTGGAACATTGCCCAAGATAGGTAGTTCCTTCCTTCCTGTGCAACAAGAATCCATGCATATAGCCAAGAGTACAAGGGAATTAGAATTTTGATCTCTAATTACTTCCCCATAGGTTCACTGAAGAACATGGAGGTTAAGATAGTTATACAGACACTGTCAACAAGGAACCATATTAGAACAAAAGCTTAGGAAGACATCAGATGCTCTGAGTTCTGTCCTGCTATAGACATGAAGCTGAATGTCTCTTGCCTTCCCAAGGATATAAATGAAACAATTTACAGGCATGCGTGGCTAGAATATGTAAGCATGTTCTGAAACCACTTGCTATGATTTGGGTTAGTCCTCCCTAAGGGTCCATGAGTTAAAGACTTAGTCCCATTGGTAGCAGTTGGAAGGGAATTAGATGATTGGGGTATGCCCTGAATGAATTGTAGGACTCTGCTTTCTTCTTCTCTGTCCTTTTCCTAGCCACCAGAAGGAAAGAAGCCATGTACCATGTGACAGGCTCAGAAGCAGCAGGATCAAGTGACTAAAAGCTCTAACACTGTAAGCCAAAATTAACCTTTTCTCCCTTTTAAGTTGATTATCTCAGAACTTTGTTACCACAACAGGCATACTGCTGTGTGTGAGAACACCCTGTCACTCTTAGATAAGAACTCACTTGCAGCATTAGCCTCATAACAATTTCACTGCTCTTCTGTTGTCCACTGCCGGGATCTTGACTATGAGAATACAATCAGATGCCACAGAGTATGAATGAGAATTGGTTTTAATGTTCTCGTGGAGGAATATGTAGAATAAATCACACATTCTGATTCACTAGCTGGATTTAACCAGACACAGTGATTAGGTTCTTGATTTATGGTGCTTCTGAATGATTACCCAGTCTAATTGAGAAATAGCCTGTCCTTTGTCATTGTGACCTGGGAACCAATGCTAATGGGAGGTAATCTATTATTTATCAGTTAACCTCTGTAATCTGTGGGTGGCAGAATTAATCAGCCATCTAATTAGTCTACTCTAATAAAACAACATCTGGCACAGCTCATCAGAAGGTGGCTGTATGAAGCTCTGTGCATAGCACCTTGCTTACAGACAACACCAGTTATGAGTCATTGATGTCCTCCTATGCAAAGGAGCAGCAGCTTAACTCCTAAAGATGCTCAAACAGCTCTCAATGCCATTAAGGAAGTCTCTGGACAAATAGTTGTTTTTGACACATCTTGTGGAGAACTCATTTCCCTCTGAGAAAGAAATTTATTAAGGTCCCCCCCCTCACACACACACACACACACACACACACACACACACACACACACACACAGAGGCATGCTAGGACATGAAAGTTACCTTTTGTCCCAAATTAATTTCATGTACTTTCTTTTTCTAGATTACAGTATTTTATATTAATAAATGCTGTTTTCTATCTAGAGATTAGGAAAATGATGTATTTTCTTAGATGATCCTGTCTTATCACTTTTTGCCTGCAATTATGTATGTGCATGTATGTATCTTTACATGGGTGTGGGTGTATGTGTGCACATATGCGTGGAGGCCAGAACTTGACGTCAATGTCTTCTTTGACTGTTCTCCACTCTGTTTACTCAGGAAGGGTCCCCTGTTGATCGGGAGTTCATAGGTTCAGGCGAACCATCTTGCTCAGTTTCCTCCTCCCAAGTGCTAAGATTATAAACTGGACACTGGGGCCCAAACGCTGGTCCCTACATTTGCACATCACATGCTTTATATACTTAGTCATCTCGCAGCCCCAGTTCTTATTTCTAAACTTGAAAGAGCATCTTAAAAACTGGCTGGCAACAACGGGGTCCAGCTGTAATCCCAGCACTTGGGAGGTGTAAGCAGGGTGATCAGGTTCAATGTCATTCTCAGCTATAAGGAAAGTTGGAGGCCAACCTGGACTGCACCAGGCTGTCTTCAACATAAAGTAAAACAAACAAAAGCAACAAAGAGCCAAATAAACAAAAAGTTTTTTAAAGTGTAACAAAAATTTCCATGTAATAACCTTGGCTAGTGAGATGGCTCAATGGGAAAGACACTTGGCATTTAGCATGACAACTTTCCCACAATGACCTCAACATGTGCTGAAACACAAATGTTTAACCATGCAAACCACATACACACAAATATAGATTTAAAATTCCTGGAGCATGGACTTGATGCAGGTTTCTTAAACACAAAATTTCTATCTACCCAGAAAATTTCCAGACCCCTCTTTTTTTTGCAGCCTTGGTGTTGACTAATCCTGTAGACAAACCACAGAGCACATGAAATGCTGTGTTCCACTTTTAAGGATCTGGAACAAATTTTACCTTCTAATCTCCTCTGCAAAACATGTATTAATGTTCAGGGTGGAAAATGAAGCCTACAGTGTGTGGACAACATGTAGCCGGATCTGCTCTTTCCATCCTGGGCGATAGCAAGACCCAACTACCAATCTCTCTTCAGATAACACACAGAGAAACCTGAACCTCCCTCATTAGTTTAGGTCAAGCTTCCTTAATCTGTAAGTTATTGAAATTACGGCCAGTTAATTCCTGAGTGAAGAGACTGTCCTAAGTATCCACTAGATGCAAGGAGCATACTCTTCTCCACCAAATCTCCAGACATTGGCTTCAGTCCCTGGGGAGGAGGGCAAAGCACAGAGGTTCTACAGTACGCTTTGGGGGGACACAGAGGTTCTACAGTACGCTTGGGGGGACACAGAGGTTCTACAGTACGCTTGGGGGGACACAGAGGTTCTACAGTACGCTTGGGGGGACACAGAGGTTCTACAGTACGCTTGGGGGGACACAGAGGTTCTACAGTACGCTTGGGGGGACACAGAGGTTCTACAGTACGCTTGGGGAGACACAGAGGTTCTACAGTACACTTGGGGAGACACAGAGGTTCTACAGTACGCTTGGGGGGACACAGAGGTTCTACAGTACGCTTTTTGCACTATGTATACTGGAAGATGGCAGTTGTTGCAGTCTATTGTAGACTGCTGTATAGTGGTCATTTAGAAAGGATAATAAAAATTCAACATCTGGAGAAGTTTTGTGTCTGAATACCACCACAATGCCAAAATGTTGTGATGTGACACTTCTCAGCACTTTTTCACCTATCATAGTAGGTGAAATCTACTATCACTAATATCACTACTATCACTACTATCACTAATATCAAATCACCACTGATTTGAGCCACTTTTTGAACTGCATGGACTTAAGTGAGTAAAACTGTCTTTGTTGATAGGATGCCTATGATTCAGTTCTATCACAAATTCTAAAGCAAATGATGCCAACACTAGAATATACCCAAAGCCTTAAAATTCATATGGTTTGAAGGTTAAATAAGGTAAAACTACTTATCTGATGTGGCCAAGGATACATGGGGAGGAGGAATCCATTACCTGATTCTCTCTTTCTGTAAGACTGACATTTCCATGTAAAAGTTAAGAGATTTTTGGGTTTTTAATTAATTAATTTCTATTTAATTTTATATTCCACACACAGTTCTCTCTCCCACCCTCCACCTGCCCCCCTCTCCCAGTGCATCCCACAACCACTCCTCCAACAGATAAGGGATCCCATGGGGAGTCAACAAAGTCTGGCACATTAAGTTAGGGCAGGACCAAACTCCTCCCTTGTATTAAGGCTGAGCATGGCATCCCACCATAGGGAATGGGCTCCAACAGGCTAGCTCATGCACCAGGGGTAGATTGTGGTCCTACTGCCAGGGCTCCCTCAGAAAGTTCAAGATTCACAACTGTCTCCTACATATGGAGGGCCTCATTTGGTCCCATAGAGGCTCCACAGCTCTTGGTCTAGAGTTCATGAGTTTTCACAAGCATGGTTTAGCAGCTGTTTCTGTAGATTTCTCCATCACAATCTTGACCTTCCTTCCTCATAATCCCTCCTCCCTCTCTTCGACTGGATTCCTGGGGCTTGGCCTGGTGCTAGGTTATGGATTTCTGCATCTGGTTCCATCAATTACTGTATGAAGGCTCTATGATGATAGTTGGGGGTATTCACCAATCTGATTACAGGAGAAGGCCAGTTCAAGCACCCTCTCCACTATTGCTACGAGTCTTAGTTGGGATCATCCTTGTGGATTCTTGGAAATTTCCCTAGCACCAAGTTTCTCCCTAACCCCATAGTGGCTCTCTCTACTAAGGTATCTCTTTCAGTGCCTTCCCTCTCCATCTTTCTCTGCCTAGACCATCCCATCCCCTCATGTTCTCATCCTCCACCCCTCCTCTTTATCACCCCCCTCACCTCAGCTTTACCCAGGAGATCTCATTTAATTCTCCTTCCCAGGGTGATTCATGAGTCCCTCTTAGGGTACTTCTTGTTACCTAGCTTCTCTGTAGCTATAAATTATAGTCTGGTTATCCCTTGTTTTACATCTAATAGTCATTTATGAGCGAGTACATACCATGACAGTTTGTCTTGCTAGGTCTGGGTTACCTCACTATGGATAAATTTTTCTAGTTATATCCATTTGCCTGCAAGTTTCATGATGTCATTGGTTTTTACAGCTGAGTAATAATCCATTGTGTAAACGTACCACATTTT